AACATACCTTTCACCCTCCTGAGCTACAATATCTTTAGCACGGGTTGTATCCCTTGTAGAACACCGAGATAATGTTGCTCCTCTGAGCTTACGGATTTTCCAAAAGTCATGGTCAGAGCAACAGTTGTGCTCAGTGGTAATACGTAAAGTCAGATGATTCCGTGAAAGCACCTGTGTGAGCTTAGAGCTGTGAAAGCACAGCTCTCCCATGTCAGTGTTCTTTGTACCACTTTATGCACATCACAACAACCATAAAAGAATCGTTCAACAACAAAAAGTACCTAAGAAAGATAACACTATGATAAGAGGTTGATAGAATTCCGTCTTGCCACCCACTCACATCCTTCTTGGGGCCCTTCAGTTTATTAAGCTCATCCTTGAGCTCCTCCCAACGATTTTGGAGTTCATGGCTGCCACTGTTGGGGTCACTAAATTCCTTTTGGCAGAACGTTTTATTTCTTTCCATATCCTCAAGCAGGAAATCTTTTTGCTTGTCAGACAGGCTCTGACCCTTCCCAGACATCTTTGAGGGAACCATGTTGCCTAAAACAAAGATATAAACAAAAGTAATCGTTATTGTAGGAAACAAAGTAAATTGAGAACATACGACAACAATCACAACCCATCCACCCCCACAGAATAGAAAGAATGAGAACTTTACAACAGAAATAGTAACGCCTAAAACTAATAGAATCACCAACACGCATCTTTGATATGATCGGAACAATTCATACGACACAACCAGTCACCACCCACGCCCACAGAAAATGAACAAGAATGGGAACTCTGGAACCAAATAGAGCATGACACGAATCTTGATGTGATGTAAATATAACCGAGCGGATCACCATTAGTAATGGACACTATGAGCGAACCAAGAATGGGGACCTTTAGACCATGAGATCTATCACCAGTTCACCAGAAGTTTTAGAACGATACGTATCTGATGTGTATCTTCTGAACCTCACACATTTTTCATGTTCCTTGGAGATCACTTGATGATTTTTTTTGCCATGAAGAAGAATTGAAACAACTGTTGCATGGTTTTGACTTACCGGTGAATGAATTTGAAGATCATGAATTTGAATTTAACGACAGTGATTCAAGCGACAGTGAAGATTTTGATCATAAAGGTAAAGAAAAAGAATCAGGTTTATCTTACCTTAGTAAATGTAAACAACGAGATTCAGATCCAGTCAATGATAAACCGAGGAAAATGTTTAATCATTCCTATGGATGTCTTAAATATGATTATAATATTATCCAAGATTTAGTCAAGGGTATTAAAGACTCTGTCTTAACAAGTAACAACTTACACTATGATTACTCCAAGCTTTCCTTGGAACAAATTGAAGTATTTAACTTTTTCAAAAGTCAACTTGACCTTGCCTCAAGTAATTCCAATATTGGTGTTAGGCGGGTTATTATCCAAGGGAAAGCAGGCTGTGGTAAAAGTTATCTTATTCATTGCATGAAACAGCTTGCATATGAACATGGTGGCCCTGACTCTTGTGTTGTTTTAGGTCCCACAGGTGTTTCTGCTAAAAATATTGGTGGTTCTACTATCCATTCTTTTTTCAGACTTCCAACTAGACAAAGTTATTTTAAAAGATTAGTGGGCCAAGAGTTACACTCTTTTCAGGAAAAGCATAAGAACCTGTCTGTTGTTTTTATTGATGAATATCCCATGGTTGGTTGCAAGCTTTTAGCCATGATTGATCAACGTTGTCGAGAACTTAAAGATTCCAGTTTACCTTTTGGCAATCTAATCATATATTTGATTGGTGATATCTATCAATTGAAAGGTGTTGGTGACAAAGCTTTGTATGATAATAATAATCCAGACCAGTGGACTTCTTTAGCTCAACTTGGAAAAGCTGCAATCTCTTCCTTTCAAAAAGCATTTCTTTTGACTGAACCACAACGCTATACTGATTACACCTACAGTAATTTTTTGGATCGTTTAGCGGTTGGTATGTGTACTGAAGAAGATTGTCAAATGATTAATTCTAGACACATCTCAAGGTTGACTGAATGTGAGTTAAAAAAGTTCGAACATGCTATTAGAATTTGCTCTATAAATGAGGATGTGAAAGAATTTAACAATGAAGAATTGATGAAGGTGGATACTGGTATTGTTCGAATTAATGCCCAGAATAATTGTAGTACTGCCTTTAAGTCAGTTGATACTTATGCAAGTGGGTTAGCAAATGTTCTGTATCTTGCTATTAATTCTCGTGTTATGTTGAAGCAAAATCTTAATGTATCAGCAGGACTTGTCAATGGTTGTTTGGGCTATGTCACAGATATTTTATATGATGAAGGCGAGAAACCACCAGCTATACCTAGGTTTGTAATTGTCAAATTTGATAATGTTGATGGTTATCCATATTTAAACGGTGGTGTTCCAATACAAGCCATACATTGTTCTTGGTCAATCAACAACATTAGCTGTTCTAGAGTTCAACTCCCTCTATCCCTAAGCTGGGCCTGTACTGTGCACAAATCGCAAAGCTTGACAGTTGAATTATGCCAGATGAATCTTGGTGAAACTGATTTTGAATTAGGTTTAACTTATGTTGCCTTATCCCGTGTTAAAAATTTGTCATCTCTTGTTCTTATGAAGCCAATTTCTTTGGATCATTTAAATTGTGTTAAACGTTCAAGAATGTTTGTTGAAAGGGAAAATTTTCTTGAATGGTTGAGACAACTAAATTAGGATTTACTCTATATAGTTTTATTATTGTCTTTTGGTTATTTGGCTATTTGAAACATCTATCCTATATGTAGCACAATGTTACCATGCATAAAATTTGTAAGGTAACTTAATAATTTCGAATCTTTTTGTCCAATTAAAGCTTTTACAAAACCTTGCTTCATTGCTTACTTTAATATAAACAAATCCATGAAGACTCACACATATTGTTTACCTTGTGGCAACTAAAACTTTTACTAGTCTAATTTAGGTGGTATTAGTGATTCAAATCATTTCTTCATCTTCATACTGACTGAAACAGTTAAATTGATTATCTTTCAGGTAAAGGATGAATTTGAACTGCGCAGATTTTGGTCACATACATTCATACTTAATGTCTCGCATGACCTTTTTTCATATTATCATGACGATTTTTCAACAAAAAACTTTCTAACCATGATCCAAATGATATCAAGTACACTCATGGATAACTGCAAAATTGGTGACCATCATCACACCATGCTCACACTAAGTGCATTACCCAGACCTTAAAAATATCCTATCATACCTTGTCCCACTAGTTTGGCCTCAACATAGACCGAGAGGGACATTTATTTTTTTGAACACCACAGTTGTCGTAAATTAAATCAAATTGAATTTGCATTTTTACATTGATTTTGTTGAGACAAGCAGAGAACTTTCCTTTTTCCTTTATTGACTTATTTATAGCTAAAGCCAAGTATTTTGTGCAATCTTTGCTTCAATTTCGGCTGCAAATTATGTACAGTTTAGGTTAACCTTCTCCATAATTTATTTTTGGGTCAATTGATAGGTAGTCACAAGCTAATTTTTAATTAGAATTGACAAAGCAACAACTTTACGTATGTATGACATTAGTCTAATTCTAATATTACATTACAATATATAAAATATTAAATCAATGCACAACTGCGTATTAGTCTAAGAAACACCCATACACTGAACAACAGATTTTGCGTATGAAAATTTGAGGTCAATTTTTCATTGATTAGAGAGTTGAACCCTATCGATTCATCCTTCGTGTGTCAGTGGGGAGGGCTTGTAAAGTTTTTTATGAGAAATTTTCTATTCACATCACATCATAGGATGAAACTAAATTCTTATTCAAATTGCAAATTGCACTGTTGTTACCTTTT